TTCCAACATGGTCACCATTCCCCCACGTACTCTGTGCCCTGCCTAGGGTAGGATGGACCAGAGATGGAGGGACTGGCCAAGATTCTGGCCTGGTGCCAGCCTCCCTCAACAGTGATAGGCCCACAGGACTTAATAGCTCATGCTATAGCTTTGCTTACCTGAGCACTGACCAAAAAACCTTCTCTCAAATAACATCTATTAATATCTAAAATCGCAGTGAAAAGTGCCATATAGGAGTTGGGGAGTTGAAGAGACCTGGGTCCAAACCTGAGCTTTGTTGCCTACTAGCTTTGTGACCTTGGTTAAATCACACGCTGAGCCTAAACCTCAGTTTCTTCATCTGTAATAAGGTTAGCAGTAGGTTCCTGAGTGTTCATTTTGTTATGCTTTGTAACTTAGGTATTCTTTTGTCATTACTAAAGATTATGACATTTTAAAAAGGAGACAGCATTTCCTCCCTTCCAAGCAGAATCATAGTGTTGTATGTCTACATGGCTGAAACCTCTGGAAAGGGGTGGTGAGAGGCCTACCTGCAGGGTTGTTGACAGAATTAAGTTAAATAATGCAGGATACCTGGCACCCAACAACCTTTACTAAGCATGTGACACAAGCCAGAGGACCCGAGACCACTCTGGGGTAAGCCAGAGCCTTGGGTTTAGCACCTGCCAAGGAGACATGATCCAGGCTCCCCTTGAAGGGATCTGCCAACAGCAGAGGCCTCCTGGACCCCCATTTCCAAGGCTAGGAACTCTAGGGTCTCATCCCATGTCCCCCAGTGTGTTACTCCACGCTGGGGGAGGGGGGACTTGGGCTGCAAGACAGTCACACATATATATACACACACAGAACTTCCCCAAAGAGCTAAGTCCAAGCTCCCAAAGGCACATTTCTGAGGCCTGAGTGTGCAGTGTTGGCTATAGGCAACCTTCCCTGCTGTTGACAAGTGATACTAATCTGTTTGACTTGGCTACAGGCAAGACCAAGGACCTTTACTTCCCATCTCCAACAAGGAACCACTTCTTTTAATGTAGTTCTGGAGCAAATCCAGATGTTTGTCAAAGCTTGCCTGCCCCCATCCCCCAAAGGGCTCTAGAACAAACATTAAGCCATGCCAGTTTCCTGCCACCAAGCCCAAGCCTCAGAAGAACAAGTGTGGAGGTAGGGATGCACAGGTCCATAGAAATGACCTTGGCATTGACCCTACCTGGAGGCCTCATTAGCTCTGGTCTTTCTGGCAGCTGTTGACACAGCCCACTGACCCTTCCTCAGAGTATCGGCCTCTGGCAACAGGAGCTCAGAGTCCTGTTCAAGGGAAGCTCTCCTGGCCAAACTTCAGACAGCGTAAAATAAAGACCACAGGGCATTATTTACTGCTAAGGAACCTACTTGTTACAAGAGAAACTGCTTGAAAGTCCCAGTCTGCCAGCTTGAAACTTAATATGCCCTGGGCCCAGCCCTACCCTTGGCATGAAGAAAAGTTCCAGTGCCTCCTGTTCTTTTGTTTCCACAGGGAGAAGAGGAAATACCTCATGTTGTCCAGTCTGCCTGCTCCCTGCCTGGGCTGAGCCCCCAGCCCAGCAGCAATGATGAATATGCCAAAAGCATCAAGAGTAACAGAGCTCAGCTCTGTTACCCACTAGTTCTATACCTCAGAGTGACTCTTTAGGGCATCAGCACATTTATCTCCTCCTCTGGGAAGCTTTCCCTGACTCCCCTAGGCTGGGTTGCCCTGACGTTGCTCAACCCTACCCCTCCCATGTCTCTCTACTACTCCATTTGGCCTTGTGGAAA